TATGTCCTATAGTCTCCAAACTAACATCTGGCAACTCTGAATGTATTTAGCAATTTGCAGATTTCTCTGCATTGATTTATGCAAGGCTTTAAAGAAAAACCCAAACAACAAAACCCCTAACATTCATTATCAAACATTTATCAGATAGTTGCTCCACACAAGGCTTGGAGACAGCTTTGGGGACCATACAAAACATGATATACTGTTCAGACATTTTCACATGAGAAGCAATTATGAATATCAGTAATTTATAGGAATCCACATCAAATCATCAGCCTTGAGTCAAAATACCTACCCTGAAGTCTCAGGTTCTATGTTCATGACCAACGTGATGTTGAGCAAGTCTTTTAAAAATTTCTTTTCTATGAAAAGAGGAAGTGGCCTGGATGATATTAAGATTCATCTTGCAGAAACTTCAGTGTCTAAATTGACCAATTAGGAAGGAGTATTTTGTTGCCAAAGAAATCATGTCAGTGGCAAATATGGAGAAGATAAATGTATTCAGCAATGATTTTAAAGGCATGGCAATATTCTTAAAATTAACCGTAGTTCTGCCTCATTTGAAGTGAGTATGTACCATGGCATCATAAACCATCAGTGTGAAGGCTTTCGATAGTAATCATATGCAAAATCTGAAAGGTTAGAAAATTGAAGAGTGCTGAAGCATTTTCATTAATACTTAATGACTAAGAAGAGTCATGATACATGTTTGGTGATTGCTGTTATGGAAAGTACTTCCCACATATCTTTTGTAATCTGATGTCCAATAAGCTGAGTTACTTTTTATCTGAATTTTAAGAAACCAAGGTTTAGAGAGCTTAAGTAACCACCAGCTAGTAAGTGGCCAAGTCAGAGCTCTAGCCTGTGTTTGTCTGGTGGCTCTTCCTGTACCATTTCTAATCACACTCTCGATAGCAAATCAAAGAGGAACAAATTTGAGCAAAAATGAAACACTATGGAAATAACTGGAAGCTTCCCGGAGGATATTTGTGTGTTGATGCATCAGGTGACGAGGATTCCAAGCTCTGTATTAATTGTTCTCCACAGCAGCAAAGTTAAAGTATTACTGTTACCATCAAGGCATGTATACCACAGAAACGGAGCCATAGAGTGGGACTGAAGAGCCCTTTCTGTACCCCTTTCCCTACCCCATATTTAATGTTAGCTTCTAGTAGAAAAGGGCATCTTTCTCCCCTTTTGAACTCATGGCTGTTATGTCAGATATTGCAGATATTATAGCTGCTGTGGCTACAGAGACCTCATGGATTCCTCCATGCTTGCTCTGAGAATTCATTAGAATTGTACTAAAAATACTGTCAGATGGCTCAAGAAGAGGTCATTATTAAGGCTGCACTGTTGCCAAGGCCTATGTGAAAGATTTCAGTACTCAGTAGCATGATGTTTTGTTAGTCCTGCTGTGTTACGGTCCTCCTAGGATTGCAGTCAGATGGTAATGTGTGCATGAAATCTTAGAGCCTAAAGAGACCTTGCTTAAGACTGACACATAACCCATCCAGGCACTTGATAGATGATGCAGGTGACCCAGAGGAAAGAGGCTGCTGTAGTGATTTCCCCTTCTGATGGTAACATTAGAATCACTGGAGAGCTTTTAAAATCCCAGGGCCCACATGAAGCCCCATATAAATTAAATCAAAACATCTGGGTTGAGATCCTGGTACCGCTATTTTTCACGTGTTCCTGCATGCTTGAACCACTGGTGGCATATATGTGACTCTCCCATTAGGGACAAGCCACCCCATGGGACAGTCATGCATGTGCGGCACCATTGTGAACATGTTAAAGACCTTCTGGTTAATTCTGATATGTAACAAAGTTTGCAGTTTGTACCACATCGTACACTCAAGCGTGGGACTACACCTAGGTTCAATTTTAGTTTTAGTCAGAGTTGACCTTTATTTTAGGACATTATGAAAAATGAAAGAGGAGTAGATACAGTGGAGAAGCCACTGTAAGATGATGTGTAGGACAATTTCTATTCTTATTTCCATATCTGCCCTTCATGGCAGGTGCATTCACCCCAGTTCACCATGAGAAATCTACTTGTGTTTTCATTTGGCCTGTGGGTCCTTGCCAGGGTGGAGAGAGACTTCAGGGAGCACCATGGTGGGGTCCCCAGCCCTACTCACTCCAGTGGCTGAGCATGCAGCAACTAATTCAGCGAGTGATCACAGAGGACTTACTGTGTGCTGGGCAATGTCTGAGGTGATGTGGATAAAATAGAAGTAAGCAGGTGTGTAAGGCTCTGCCCTCCCAGAGTTTGTTAGCAAATAAATGGCCCAAAGATAAATCTTAGTGATTCCAACATTATAGGGTGAAGCAGTGGTGGGAACTTGTTTTATTCGTGTCTTCTAAGCCTAATGTCTTCAAGAGGATTTGTGGCAGCAAAAACAAATCAGGCTGTAGAATATAACTAAGAAACAGAATTCATAATCAAGCAATGTATAAATCTGAGGGTCAAGAACAGAAGAAGAAAAATTCATGTTGGGATCTATGCCAGATCCCCAATCCCCCAAATGGGTGCACAGCAAAAGCTCAAAGGAATGAGACAAGTGGCCTGATCATTAGGGGTGCAGGAGGAGTGAAATCCTCAGCAGAGCTCATAACTCTGCTAGGCAGCTGGCCAGCTGACTGATGCTAGGAGGCTCTTAATCAGAACAAGCAAGGAGTTGAGTGGACAATGGAGAAAACCTGAACAGGATCTTGGGAGGGGTTCAAGGACCCCCTCAGAGCAACAGATGATGCTAATTAAGGAAAACTATCCAGAAAGTCTCCAGGTGGCCTCAGCTGTGGCCTGTCTTGCCCCCTGAAGTGTCTCCTCATTCTCAGTTCAATCATACCCAGACCACGACACAGTCCTGCACATGTAGTCAGCATCAGCTCTCCAACAAATTCATAGTTATGCAAGTCATAGGACCCACTTGGACTGAACTTCAAATATAGCATCAAATATTCTAGCAGTCATATTGAAAATGGAAATATGGCTGCTTACAGAGTACTTTTTGTCAGAAAGAAAAAGACTAGTTTATCAGGGAAAGAAAGGCTTTTGTATCATTTTGTTCTTGAAAAATATCTTGAGTGGAGCTTCTTACTATCTCTGAGTCTTGTAGTGAGTACAAAAGTTAACTTTGTAGGACAGTACCTTGTAGCATCTTGCAACAAAAGTGAGAATATGAAACAAAATACAACATAATCCATCCATTTTGCTCAGGAGTGGTCAGAAGAATGGCGATTTGGAGTAAATCATGTCATCTTCATGTCAGTGTGTGTCTAGAAGCTGGAAAACTTGGGAGATGGAGATATTGGACTCCTGGTAACATTCTTCATAAGCATAATTTCTCTTCACCAAGATTTTTGTAAGGCAGATGGTTATATTTTCTGTTTTCTAGTGTAGAGCTAAAGGAGTATTCTGTGATGTGAGTAATGTAATATTTTACACCAGGGGTCAGTAAAAGACTAGCTAGTAAATATTTTAGACTTTGTAGGCCAGATGGTCTCTGTCACAGATATTTGTCTCTGTCACTGTTGCATAAAAAGCAGCCGTAGGTAATCAGTAACTGAATGAGCATGATTGATTTATAAAAATAGTTTCTACCTACAGGTCATACATTGCTGATCCATCCTCAAAAATAAATGGAAAGCATATTGGTTTTCTTTTGTTAAAATTAAAGGAGTTAGAATCTTGGTCATTCTTAGTTAGTGGTGACTTTGACCTTATACTTTAACTGATATTATGTGATGATCCATGCTGGAAAGAACCTGGCTTGTGTTTGGGTTTCAGATTCGTGAGGCTTCTTTAAGAAACATGCTGCTCTCAATGCAATCCCAGTGCAACTGTTCATTCATCAAAGTGGCACCGAGCAGACATGAATCTGAGATAGCTGCAGCACAAAAGTGGGATGTGGCCAAAAATTCTTGCATTTGTGGGAGAATTGTGATGTTTGTCACCTTCAAGTCTCCTAAGCAACGTGGATTCTCATGTTCTCATGGTTGGTTTCCTAGGAAAGAGAGGAGATGCTGGGCTATTTTCCCTGTGCTGACAGGTGATATTTACTCTTATCTTTCCAAATGCAAAACATTAAGCCTCCCCAATGTAGACTTGAACAATCTACATGTGAGTGTAGCATGTAGTGTAACTAAAGACACTGTAGATACCCTTAGGGAAAATAGCATGATTTCACTGTCAAAAAAGGTTTAGTTATGGGCAGATAAAAATGTTGATGGTTTTATTCTTAAATACCTCCCACTGGCCATAACTGATCTAGAAGGTTGATTGTGTAATGGATGCTACCTTAAAGGGTGGAGTCCAGGAGGTCATCAGAAGAAATAGCCCCAAGTGATTTGGAATCTGCAACCACAGTTGTGTTGGGGCCTCAATCACAGAATTGATTTCACCAATTTATGGGTGAGCTATGATCTTGAGCAGTGTGTTACATGCTAATATGTCTCATATAGTGACAGTAGGCATATCAGCTTAAACAACAGTGGCCTCAAAAGTTTGTAAAATCATTGCTATGAGAAGAATTTTGGAACCACTGGGGCTTTTTTTTTTTTGTCATTTTGAACATGTTTTAGTATGTGATGCTTTTGGACAGTAGGACATTTGCTCCATTTGGAATTGTATTGACTGTTTACTTCTCTGGCAGCAAAAGGTAGTTAAAATGGTTTCTAATAATTTTGAAGATCTTAAGAGACTACTGCAGACTTATGGAGGGCATATGCAGTGTCTTTATCTTCATGTAACCAGTGCTTAGTCCAGTACCTAACCTTTAAGGGCCATTCTTAACGATGTGTTTGATAATGAATCCGAGGTAATTTGCATAACCAACCAGAGTAACTGGTTGCCAGCAAGGGAGATAGCTTCCTTTTAGTTTTATTGAATCACTAAAGGAAAAATCAAAGATTTTTGTTTGGGGATTAGGACAAAATATGGGAAAGCAGAAAATCATTTATATGGACTAATCATACCTATTCCCCCTTAGATATCACCAGACAGGGCTTGGAGTAAAGAATCAGCAGTCAAATTCATGCAGCAGGTATAATATAAATTTAATCATTACTTATTCTTAGCAAGCAGGATTTAGGGCTAGAGAAGCTTCGAGGATAAATTGCTTAGGGGAAATGTCAAATATCAAAGTCATCCAAGACAATTTTAAGAAGCAGCAACTCACCAGACATATTGTCTCGCCTTTCTTCCCATGGCTCCTGATGACAAGTTTATTGACCACAATTACTTTCTCAGCTGTCTTAGGAAAACACTCCTGTGGCAGAAATCACAAGATTTATTAGGCTTATAATTTTTAAAATATCCCTGTCGCTAATAGAAAGAAATAGAGACAGCAGAGATGTTACCAGCCAAAAAAAGGATCTTGGGCAACACTAGTGGGTGTGGCCACAGTCTGCCCCCGCCCCTAGTGGCCAGGATATGTAGCGGAGAAGACAGGAAAGAACAGAGGATGAGGTGATACTCACAATCCTCAGGGCCTGGCTGAGGTCCAGCCATGAGCATTTTGTGGTAGGATCCTGTTGCTACCAGCAGAATAGAGGGACAATGGAGGAATGAGACAACTTTAAAAAAGGTTCACATTAATTTGGAGTAGTCTTAAAAGTGGGTAATTTTTAAACTGTAATAGATAAATTTCCTATCCCTATTATATTTTAAGTGATGAATTTTGACCACTGCAACTTTATTGTATATCATCCTATCCTTGTTACCTCGTCTTCTTTTTCTTATATCACCAGGCCAAGGAAACTTGAGCATCTGTTAATAGTTTTGCTCCAAATCCTCTGCCAATACTAACCACAAAGAAACAAAAATAGGATAAAGAGACACATGGGTAACCTCAAGTATCTTTTAGGTTTATCATTCTTTGCTAATTGGATGAGTGTCCAGAAACTGTCATGACTTGATGGGTTTTAGACCTTTGATCCATGCTGGTTTCCACAGTAAGAATTAGTTATTGTTACTCATATATTTATTTGTTCAGTGATCCATTTTGGATGTTTTTTGTCTCAGGGCCTGAGGATCATTTTCTCGGATGCATCACGACTCATCTTCCGGCTCAGTTCCTCCAGTGGTGTGCGGGCCACCATCAGGCTGTATGCAGAGAGCTATGAAAGGGATCCCAGTGGTCATGACCAGGAGCCACAGGTACAAAACAGAGCTGGGATCATGGGACTGTTGTCTCACCACTCCAGGAAAACCTAGGAGCCCCAGTAGGCTTTTAGCAAAAAAGTGCATTGATACCTTTGGGTGAAGGTGAACACAGTGTTTGAGACAGAAAAATTGCCTTCTAATGTCTATAATGAATTTCAGCCAGCATTATGAATTTCCTGGTGTTTTAAAAACTCTACTTGGATCTTACTGTAATTCTGGGCTTCCTGTGAAATTGGTGCAGTAACAGTTTTCAACCACGAGCCTCCCTAGTCCCGTAGTCATTTAAGCTCTAGATAATATTAATGTCACAAAGTCCCCATTCTAGCGTTGGGCATATTGTGCTATGTTTCTGGATGCTCCTGTCTCCTTGGTTGTTGGAGACTGACCTGTGTGGTTGGTCCTAGATTCCTTTTCTAGGTGCCATTCATAGGGAACCAGTCCACTCCCCCTAGCTTTCCCCATCAGCCACCACTTGTAGGGACCTAATCCTATACTAGTTTGTTCCCTTGACTCAAGGATGCCCAAGGATGAATAACAAAGAGACAGAGTTATATTAGCATACAGGCAACTCTTGCCTCTAGTTTGCAGAGGGCCTGAGCCTCTGGCTTTTGTTCATCCAAACATGGATACAAGTAATTAAAGTAACATAAGATTCATCTGCCTCATGTTATCTATTAACATGTGCTTAGGTAAACAATTTAAAGTGAGCAGTATTAGCTTTCCCTAGAATCCGCAACATGCCCTCATCCCTGCTTGATGCCTTTCTCCTTTGTGCCCGAAGAAGAGACCAATTAAGTCTTAACTTGCCTCTGGTCTCCCACATCTCCCCATTTTTGTTCTTACAGTAATATTTGAATATCAATCACTACCCTTCATCCCTAGGGGGAATACGCAGGTGCAGCCATTCTACCATTTATCTTAAGGTCTAGCTTTATCAAAAGCTCTGTTTGCAGTTAGATTATCCCAATGGAGAAGCCGAGGCCTGAGAGCTGTACGCAGTCTGCAGGAACATGAGTGGGCAGCTTATATAGCAGCTTTCAGTCGTTGGGCCTTCCTCTGATGGCCACAGGCTTTCCATGCAAGGGATGGGGCCATGCTCTGCCAAAATAACTTGTTAATGAGTGTATTTCACCTAAGATAGTACCAAATCATGCCAGAAGTAGAGACTTACTTCCCAAATAAAACTCACTTCTACGTCCCATGTTGGAGATTAAAGCAAGGCCTGGAAGCCCAGAGCTTTGGTACAGGGGGAGGAATGATATTTTTGGCCTCCCTGGCTCTGACTCATTATGACTTTAGGATAGTTTTCTCCACATTCTTTTCCCTATTTGCACAGAGTAAGTGGTTATGATACTTGCTTGTTTTTATTTATCTTCCTCCTTGGACTGAGTCCATGTCTTTAGGCATGTTTGAAAACAATTCCATATACAGATGACTCACCCGCAACATGGTCCATTAAAGGCAAATCGATACTTTTAAAAAGGCCTTTGAATTAAAAAACCTCTATAGGCCTGCTTTTAGAAGATGGTGAGGGTAAAGAAAACATAAATCATACTTAAGTTAGTGCTCATTATTGTGTATTTTCCATCTTGTTGGCCTACAGTTTTCCAATATGAGTGGCTGGGGAATCTCTTCACTGATGTCATTCATCTGCTTGCTGATCATCCCTCTCCTTTTATTTTTTATTTTGTACTAGGAACCAAATTCTTGGCCTTGCATTTGCCAGGCAGGCACTGTGCTGCTGACCTGCATCCCTGGTTCTCACCTCTCTTTCTAATCATGAGTAAGAGTTTTCCCCAGTCTAGAGCCTAGGTGCATTTCAGATATGTAGCACATGATCTAAAGAATCTGTGTGACAGTAAAACTTATTTATATAAGAATAATAAAATTATACACACACACACCCTATAAGAAAGAGTATTCCACCATTTTACATGTGTTAATTACTCCTCCTTTACCAAGGGCCTTCCTATTGGAGTATTTTGGAGCTCTTTGAACTGTGGCTTCCCAGGATCACCTGTTTCTCCTTCCAAAATGTCTAGAAAGCAAAGTATTTGGTTAACTGTTAACAGGAATTGAAGATAAGACATGCTCTGAAGCTGTTGGTGTTATTAGTGATCCAGGGTCAAACAAGGAAAGACAAGTTTGGGTTTTTTCAGCTGCAGATAGAACTCCTGGATTTTCAGCTTGAATTTATTTGCTGCTCTTACCAGAAAGCAAAGAATACTCCCATGCATAAGCACACACTCACACATTAAAGTAACTCACTGACCTGCAGAGATTCCAGTGAGCTTACTCTAATTCAATTGGTAGCTTTTAATGTTTTATCTACTCTAATTAAATAGTGATCTATAGTCACATTATTTTGCAAGGACAGAGATTTCCTTTCAGCCGGTTTATCAGCATCTGACCATTCTACTTTGCACATGAATCATTTCTTTTTTGGGCGTTTTAAACAGATGTGAACACATTTCAAACAGTTATGCTGGGTGCCTTGTAAAAGTATCTATAACCATCCCAGTGATTCAGTTGGAAAACTTGTGTTATAATCAGTATGCATATGAATCTCTACCCCTACTTGCAGATTTTCCATTTTTATCCTTTTCTATAAGTGATAATGCCATTTGTTCTAAGTTTGCATCAGGGAATTTACTTACCTAACAATATTTTAAACTATTCTGTCCATGTTGATCTATGAATTGGCTGCAAGAGAAGGAAGTACTTGGGCCTGAAGGAGATAAGGTGTTTGCCTTGTCCTCCCTCAGTGTCCTAGCAAGTCAGAAAAGAAGCATCCAAAGGCCAATTCCTGGGAGGTTACAGTTTTAAAAATGCAAGATGACTTTAACTTTACTAGCAATCGATAGGCCTTCAATGAGCTCTCAAACCAGATGGTAATAATTTGGAAAAAGGGCTGAGCCAAAAGGATTTAAATTTTCAGGTAACCACGAACAGTATGATTGTTTCCATCTTCTTTCCCACCAAACTTGGTAGAGTTGTTAAGTCAGTATTTTCCTCACCTTCTTGCTTGTCGCTCTGAGCCACAGTTGGAGTAGCTAATGAACAGCAGAAGACCCGCAAGGAAAAGTTTTGTTAAGGACTAGAATAACCGCAGACTGATAATCAGCTTAGGGCTAATCAGCCCTTGGCTTTGACACTTTCATTGTAAAATAAAAACACATCCTTTACAACCCCAGTCCTTAAAAGGCACCTGCTTTTCCCCAGCCTTACAACCAAGGAATTTATATATATTTCCAATAAGCTCTACAGAGAAGACTTTAAGGATTACTATGCAAGCACCTGGAATCCTACTATATTTGACTTGTATCAAGCCAAAGACCATCTGTCATTTTGTTCTATCTGTTCTTAAAACATTATAATCCAGAAGTAGAATATTAGAGCCACTTTTTATGTGGAGAGAACATGCAATTTGTCTAAACCAGAATACTTTTGAGAGTGCAAAGGGATGGCATTAATACTTACGCTGAGTCTCTCCCCAGTCAGTGAGAAGATATGACTACTTTGGTTCCACATATTTGACCAGTTGTAGAAATGCACATCTCTTCCGAGATGGGGTCCTGAGAAAGAAGGAGCATGACAGGAGTGAAAGGGGTGACATCAGTGGATCTCAGTCCTGACTGCACATCAGATCTCCGTGGAAATACCCAGGCCTAGATCCCACTCCCAGAGTTTCTACTTTAATTGTCTTCAGGTGGGATTTGTAGCTTTGAAAAGCTTCCAAATGGCTCTGATTAGGGCTAACCCAGCTTTACTTACATCCTGATCAATCACCCAGGGATGACCAGCTTGAGAAAGGCAGCGGTTCTGCATTGCTAAGAGCTGCCAGGGGCTTGTGCACCAGTAAGCACAAGCAGCCACACTCTGCATCCCAAGGAGGTAGGTGTGAATCCAAGCACAGGCCCTTACATTCTGGCATTTTGTTTTTTACTTTTAGTAATACATGTTTGTAGTCCACAATGATTACACTCCCTATAAGGGATTTGGTAGATGATGTTCATAACAAATTCAATTCCCATTGTTCCCCTTGCCTCAAACACCATTTTATTTTTCAAGCATCGGTCATTAATTTATCTCGTAAGGCCTTATGAAATGATATCTACATACCGAAAACAAGTCTGATAAGTCAAAGAACATATAAAACATGTAGCACAGTTGTACTGTTAAGAGACACTTTTAGACACTTGGTCCATTCTGGGTTATAATACCATTTTTAAATTCTCTTTTTTCCTACTATCTGTCTTTTTTGAGTACTTTATATGTATGGAGTTTTCCATATAAGAGAAACCATGCAGTATTTAAGCTCCTGTGTCTTAGTTACTTCACTTAACATGATGATCTCAAGGTGTGTCCATTTTCCTACAGCTGACTCGAGTTTATCCTTCCTTATGGTAGGATAGTACTTCATTGTGTATAAATACCGCATTTTTAAAATCCATTCATCTGTTAATGGGTATACAGGGTGTTTTCAGGGTTAAGCTATTACAAACGGGTATCACACATCCCTGTAGTGTGATTGTGATGTCTGTAACTGCTGGAGGATTCCCAGGAGGAGAATAGCTGGGTCAAATGGAATTTCTACTTCTAGTTTTTTGAGTAATCTCCCTAGTGATTACCACAGTGGTTATATCAGTTTATACTCCCACCAGCAATGGAGAAAGGTTCCTTTCTTTCCATAGCTTGCCAGCATTTGTTGATGATAGCCATTCTTTCTGGAGTGAGATGGAATCTCAGTGTTGTTTTAATTCACATTTATCAAATGGCCAATGATATTGAGCATTTCCTCATGTAAATACTGGCTGTTTGTATTTCATCTGAGAAACATCTGTTCTTTAAATGTCCATTTTTAATAGGGTCTTTAAATCGGGGGGTCTAATTTTTTGAGTTCTTTGTATATTCTAGATAGTAGTCTGAGAAGTAGGTAACAAAAATTCTTTCCCATGTTTAGTTGTCTCTTCATTGCTGTGCAGAAGCTTTTT